GAAGATTCTACTGCTTCACAACGAGAACGAAGAATTTGACAGAGAACTGGGGAGGTGGTTTGGAGAAATATAAAATAGAAATAAATATTAATAATAATAGTAATTATAGCAATAGAGAAATATTTTGTGCAGTTTTAATCCTATCAAACAGTATAAAACTAATCATTTAACAGATAAAGATTGCCTTGAATGTGGAGGCTTTTTTCCCATTCAACATTTTTACAATTAGGTGCGAAAAAGAGGACTTATATTAATATGAGATTGAGAAAATTTTAGTACATCTTAACAATTAGGGTGTTAGAATTAATAATAAAAAGATTAAAATATTTTTAATAAATTAACATATAAAAAGCTAGTTAAGAATATTTAAATAATTTCATAAAACTTCATGACATTTAAAAATGTTATAATATACTAATTTCACTTTTTTCTATTAATAACATTTATAAAAAGGTGAAAGTATGGGATAAGGACTTAAACTTGCAAAAAATTTGCAATTCTAAACCCAAACTTCAATTTTGTTGAATTAAGATCTTAAACTATATAAAATTTTCAAATAAGATCTCAATTAGATGAAATATTAACTTGCAGTAAACGTCTTACGACTCCATTAACATTCATTACTCTCTCATCCAAGTAGAATTCAATGTTATGTCAACCATACATAATGCTAAATATGTTTATCAATTCTCACATTATGCTTGTTTTGACTATATTAACTTGGGCAATGTGGGCAATGACTTTAGTTTTGTCTTCATACTTTGCTCCCACTTTAATTGTTAGTTGCTTTTCTTTTTCTTTGTTTTTTACTTCACCTAAAGTTTTTTCTTTGCCTTCACCCACAACTTTTGTTCTCTCAATAATAATTGATAATTACAAATAAAATGTAGTAATTAAAATATATTAGAATTATTACCAATTATGTAATGGACATGTAACTAATTATAATGAAGGCTTTTACCTAAGCAAGAGTAGATCTAGTGATTTTTTTTTTTTTTTGGGCAGCCAATTTTGTTATGACCTTGAACTCCACAAATTAAGCAAGTTATCTAAGCACCTTTCTTTGAAATTTTTTAGACGACCATCTTAGACTTGCTAACCTTTTTTGGGTCATCCTTATCTTCTATTTTTTTTAACATTTCAACTTGTTTCCTAAATGGTAATGGGATTCATCAAACCACATGTTTATACCTGAAATTGTAGAATCCACAAAAAATCTTTGGAATCCTTGAAGTTACTTCCAAAGATCCCACCATGTTCAACAAATCAAATCTCACTTCCTTCAAAAGTCATATTCACAGGACAACACTACATAGAAAAGGAATAGGTTTTTTTTTTTTTTTTTTGGTTTGTCTCAAAGACTTTAACAATCTTGGAAGCCGGAGAGATTCTTAATTGAAGGGAAAAGTCGTTGATGAAAAAAATATATGTCGTGAGGAAAAAAGTAAAATTGATATGGCCTCCACATGGATTAAAAATAACAAGTTAGTATATATTTTTTTTACATGTCTCATTTTTTTTTTTGGGTGAAAGAGTAATAAATATTAATAGAGTTGTAAAACATTTAATGACAATTTAATTTTTCATTTAATTAATACTTTATTTGAGAATTTCATATAGTTGAAAACTTTTACTAATGCAATTGAAATTTAAGTCTAAAATTATAAATTTTGAGCAAATTCAAGTCCTTATCCCATGCTTTTGCTTTATAAAAATAAGAGGAGGAAGAGAATGCAAGCGTTAGTTATTGCGACATAAATTTTTTGTTAAATCTACATAAATAATAGTGATTATATCAATCTAAGCTCAACATAACTTAAATTAATTTTTTTAAATATATCAAATCAATCATAATATTAAAATTAATAAAAAAAAGAGTCTGAAATGAATGCAGTAGCTTTATAATTTAGAACACTATCCTTGTAATTAGTATAGTTCAATAAAGTCCGAAATATTTACAAAAACAATTTTTTAAGACAGCACCGCACATCAAACAACTACCAGCACAATACAGGAATCCCAACATAAATATTCGTAATTACTTTTACACTTAACACACTGGAAAATATTCGATTTCCGCTCCGTCAGTCAGGCAAAAGCAACACAGGGAGAGCGAGTGAGCCAGGGACAACAGAAAATCCAAGCAGGAGCAATCAGCAATGTTTCACCCCAGCAACCAGGTACGCCGCGCATCCGAATCTTCTCAATTTCCGGTGCTCCCTTCTTGCTTCCTGAGAAATGCGGGCGAAAGAGAGGGCGGAATTTCTTGGAATTTCATGCGCACTTGTATTGTACTGCATTCATGATTTACTGTATAGCAACCCCAAGTTCTATTTTCTTGTTTTCCCCCGACATTTTCTTAGCAAACAAACGGAGGTTTACGGTTTCTCATGCATGCACTTCTTTCCCTTCCTTTGAGCTACTCCACGCTTTAATTTTCTTTGCTGACACTTCAAATTTGTGCGTTACTCAGACTTTATGATCTGCTTCTCTTGGACTTCCGTTCTTTTGCGTTAATGGGTTTTACTTATTTTCTTTTCTTAGTAATTAGGGTCAATTTTTTAGTTTGCTTGGTGTATTTATGAATCAATTACAAATGGGTTATTTTAAAATTAACAGTATTTTTGGATAAGAATAGGTAAGGAAAAGAGGGATCTTACAGCTTTGTGATAATGGTGCAGGTTTTGCTTTAATATGTAAAAATGGAGATTCTTGTGTGCTTTAATATGTAAAAATGGAGATTCTTGTGTGCTTTGGTTATGAAGCTTCCCTAATGTGGTCTTTAATGCCTTCTTTAAAATTAAGCAGCAGGATTTTGTATCTATCATTAAAAAAAATTTGGCATCTGTTTATGGGAGAAGTATGATGGGAGTTGCTTGTGTCGTTATATCAGGTTTCCCCCTTCTTTTGGGATGATAATTGTAAATCATGTTTTTATCTTTGTGTTTCTGCAATTCTGCCATGAGGATACTAGCTGATGCATGATTATCTCTCTACTGTCTTTTCAGTTTCCTATTCAACCAATGGCATTGTCTGTCCAAGATCCATCAGTGCCAATGCAGGTAGATCAGAATGATAACTCTTTGGCTGCTGGAGATGAAATGCAAAATGGAGGACTTTCACAAGCAAAATCTATCATTCAAAGTTCTGAGGTTGTGAGGATGCTATGTTGATACTGCTTTTAGATTTTCTTTATGCTGTGTATTTCAATGGAGAAGAGAAAAACCAGTATATTATTTGGTTCTTAACCAGTATATCAGGGATGTTAAATCACTTTTTGAAATTTCTGGAGTTTACTATTCTGAAAGTTTGGATTGAAAAGTACTGACTTAGAAATAATATTATTGTGGCAGAGACTTCAAGATGACCTACGTTTGATAGGACTAAAAATCAAACAACATGAGGACAACCTAAAACTTCTGAATTCTCAAAAGAACAAACTTGAGGAGTCTATACTTGATATGCGAGGTATGTATCACCTTGTATGCTCCATGCATGTATAGATTACAGAATGAACTCCATCTTGAAACTTGGGAGAGAAACTCAAGATGCCAAAGTATTTAGGCCCCTGATAACATATGAAATGACAACACTCTGTTCAGTAAGACTAGAGTTAACGCTTACTATTTGCGTGTCAAGGATATGCTTCTAATTGTTCTATCACACTGTCTGAAAAGCTTAACAATCTTAAGTAATTTTGATTCTTCATAATTATGTATGCTGTGTGTTTTATGCTTACTGATTAGCTTCCTTTCAGTTATTCTTGGCAAGTATCATTCTTCAAGTGCACCTAGGACTGAAAATGAGGACTATTCTGACCTTGAGGGAGAGCAGAAAGTAATCGAAAACATTCTCAAGCATGAAAAGTCTGCAGCTCGAATTATTTGCCAACTGTCCCATGACATCAGTCATGCTTCTCATTCAAAATTGAACAAGGATGTGTTGGGTATTGTTGCTACTCTTGGCAAAGTAGATGATGAAAATCTTAGCAAGTAAGTTCATCTTTCCACATCTAGGCCATCTAGTATCTACTTCCTGATATTTGGATGTTATCCTTGATGGGGGCTTAGAAGAAGAAAAAAGAGAAGGAAAAGAAGAAGAAGAAGGAAGAATAAGCTTATATGCTTGAAGCTCTTGTGCTTGGAGAAGATTGAGGGTGTTGTTGGTGGGGGTGAGACACTAGGTACATGTATTTTTGAATTGTCAACAATGTTCTGGTGCTGAAATATGTTTCTTGGAATTGGATTGCAGGATTTGAAATGGGTGTTTTAAAATTTTGCATGTGCTTTTAATTAACTTCAAATATTAGAGGTTCCATGGATGATTGTTTGGCAAGTGTTGGCCATGAGTTTCTTTAGGTAAAGTGATGAGGAATTGTAATAAAGTGCTTAACTCTTCCTATTGATGGATAGCTTAGAGTTTCTTATGAATTTCACCAACTGGCCATCTAGATTGAGGGTACTGTAAATGCTTATCTGTTTTGCTTTTATATATGCTTGATGTATCTTCCTTCTTATACAAATGTAGGCTTTTGGCGGAATACCTCGGATTAGAGACCATGTTAGCGATTGTTTGCAAAACATTTGAAGGTGTTAAGGCTTTGGAAACATTTGACAAGGATGGCGTCATTGATAAATCTGCTGGTCTGCACGGGCTTGCTGCTTCTCTGGGGAAGCCTTTGGATGCTCGTTTTCTTGTCATTTGTCTTGAAAATTTAAGGTATAAGAATTGTACACTTTGTGTACTTATAGCTTGTTTATTGGTTTGGGAATGTTGAGAAAGCCAATACGCTTTCAAATGTTGGGGCATGTTGAGAAAGAAATATATAAGTTAGTCAGGTCCTTATCTATTGACTTGAGCTTTAAAGATTTAGTGTTTGACAGGATATGTTTTGAAGATTCTTTTTACCCCTATTCAGACCTTATGCAGGTGATTTTATAGCAGATGACCCACAGAAGAGGCTTGACCTTTTAAAGCCAAGATTACCAAATGGAGAATGTCCCCCAGGCTTTCTTGGCTTTGCAGTGAATATGATAAATGTGGACAGCTCAAATTTATTTTATGTCATTGTTGGTGGGTATGGCCTCAGAGAGACTCTTTTCTATAGTCTCTTCTCTCGTCTTCAGGTATATAGAACGAGGGCTGACATGGTCTCTGCACTCCCGTGTATAAGTGAAGGAGCTGTTTCTTTGGATGGTGGGATCATTAGAAGTAATGGCATTTTTTCACTGGGAAGTCGGTAAGAAATTCCTCCACAACAAATAAACTAGCAAATTTAGTTTTACTACATCAAATTACAGTATGCTTTCTTTGTACTATTTTCTTTATTGTTTAATACTTTGGGTTTCAACTTGACAAAACTCCAATAGTGTGCTCCTAATTCAAATGTATTTTACATGAGAACCCATTATAAATGAACAAGCTGCTAACTTAGAGAAGAAATAAGGAATATCTATTCCTTAGGTGGAGTTGTTAATAGTACATATTACTTATGCATCTCCTAACTTAATAAAAAATAATCAATCTTAAGGGTTAGTTCAATTTTTGTTTGTTCATAAAAACCAATAACTTGCTTTTTAGTTCAAATTTATTTTGCTTATTGACAAATGAAATTGATTTGCCTTTTTGGTTCTGTCCTATCTGATATTAGGGAAGAGGTAGATGTGAGATTTCCAAAACCTTCCTCAATGCCAGATGTGCCTCAAAGCCACATTCAGGCTGAGAAGCAGATCAAAGAGATGAATATGAAAAAGGAAAATTTGCAAGAAGATATAAAGAGGGAAGAAGCATTGCTGAACAAGGCAAGGTTCAATTTCGGAAGTAAGAAGCAAGAATATGTCATGTTTATAGCTCAAAGCTCATCATCATATACAACTCAGGTATTCTGGACCTTAATCCTATTCTTCTTCGCCACCTTCACTTTTTTTTGTCAACCCAGTCTATCTCCATATGGCTTAATTATTTCTGGATTAATTCTTTTAAGCTTAAATGACTATTTAATTGTGTCTTCAAACTGCTTAATATTTAACCCTTTTTTTCTCACTAGTCAATCACCATACCCTTCTTACTTAGCAGGATTGTGTTCTTAATTTTATTCTTTTATTATTTATTATATGGACTGTGCCTCCCGCTTAATTATGTTGAAGCAACCCCCAGTCGATCTACTATTTTCCCCATACTCATGAAATTGCTATCATGAAGCTGTTACAAGTCACTGGGATAAACATTGTCTTAATTAACTTCTTTTTTCCATCTAAGTAGTTAAACTTACATCCAGTTTAATGTTGATGTAGAAATGTTTTTATCCAAAATGCTTTGGACTACATTTCAGAACTAAGAAAAGGTGTTGCGGAGTACCATGAAAAATTGGACACTTGTTTGTAAAGCCTTTCTTTTTTCTTAACACCAAAAACATGTTCTTTGTGGCCAAAAAAATATGAAGAAAAATTAATGTTGTTTGTTTATTAGATGGGACTGCTTTATGCTTTTTGTTTATCAGAATGCATGTTTGTATATTGCTGATGCAACTGAAAATCAAGTGTTAGAAGGTGGGTTTTTTTTTTTTGGTTTTTTGAAAATCAAAATTGTTGGAAAGTTTAGGATGGAAATTTTTTTTCATGTTTCTAATGTTGAGTTACTCTTAACTATTCTGATCTGTGGCATTAATATTTAATTGCAGCATCAGCTCCCTGTGACACGAGATAGGTTGACCCCGAGATGATGTTAACCAAAAATTCTACCAATTGAACTGGGACGAGTGCAGGAGTCATAGAACAGCTTCTGGCCAGCAAGCATCAGTGATTTTTCTTCTGGTCATAACCCCAGGAAGAGCTTCTGATGTGACGGAAAAAACATGTTTCTTATGTTTCTCTTTTCTGAGAATTTGCATTTTCATCTCAAGTTGTAGTTGTTCCTTAGCTTTTTAGATCACGGAAAACCAGAAACAGATTGAAGGCATGCATTGATAATCGGCACAGATGGTAGGAGATAATAATGCAAGCTTGTTCAGTGTAGGCAGGATCGATGTCAGCATAACTGCCTTTACAAGCATTTTCATTTTTTTCTTCTCCCATCATGTGTCAGCATGTTCATCACCTTGCAAATTTGGTTATTTGTAATGTACATGATGCCCCAATGTTGTATTGTCTGTTTTACAGTGTATGTGCTTCCCCCCCTGTCATGGGGTTTTATTTCAACGACTTCCTTTCATCTCATAACTAGACTGTTCTATCTCCCACCCCATCGGTTTGGTTGAACGGGTTATTTTGAAACCAATATAAGGTTGGTTAGGTTCATTTCGGTTCATGGGTTGCTCGAACCATCTGCGTGGCTCAAACCTCAAAGAAGTCTAGATATCGCTGATTTTGGGCTGTTTAAGGAATGGGCTGTGTGTTGCGGGGGCTTTCTAACTTGTCAGAATTAAGAAGCCCATAAAATAAAAAAATAAAAAAAAAACTAAGCCAAGCCCAAACTAGTTTTGACGGGTTTACTAAATTCCTAAACTACCCTTGGGTATATCAAAATGCCAATCTCTGTCGTCGTAAAACCCTAATCCGTCATTCCAGTTCGAAGTGCCCGTCATCGGAAAACCTCAGGCGAGGACATCGGATTCTTCATCCGGCGATCTCAATCCTGTAAGCTTGTATTATTTCTCGCTTGTATCTCATTTTTTTTATTCTGTTTCGAGCATTGAATGTATGCTGTCTGGGGTGGGATCTTAGTATTTATTTATTTTTTTTTTGGCCGAGGGAGCGTAGAAATTCAATGGCCGGAAATGCTGCAAAATCTGCGGTGAAGGCGATCGGAGAGTACCAGTATCCGTGGAGAGAGAAACTGGTAAAGTATAAAGATGAGTTATCGAAGGGGGTATGGGGTTACTGGGAACTTGGGGCATGGAAGCCTCTAGGCATCAGCGCTCGCCGTCGGGCCAGGCTGCGCAAGGAAGTCCTTCTTGCTGGGGAGGATTGGCCGTACGATCCGGAGAGGAAAGAGATGAGGACCAAGATGAAAGGGCACAAATGCGACAGAATTGCCGCTGAGAAACGGGCAAACACTGCAAAACTGATGGAGAAAATGCCGGAGATGTTGCTGGCGTACAAGAAGCGCAGGTGGGAGAAGAAGATGAAAGAAGAGGAGAAAATGAAAGAAAAGGACTAAAGTAGTAAGCTTTAAGAGTTTGTCTTTGACTCTTGAATCCTTGGGTTGATTTGCATTACTCTGTAACAGAATTTGGATGAAAATCCATGCTTTAATTTTGCAAAATTGGCTGAATTGTGAATCTTTATGAAAATAAATCTTTGAGTGGGAGATGTGATGGTTCTAGCGATGAATGTATGATGTTTTAAAGCAATGATCTTTCTTTAGTGTATATGATCTGATTGTGGCTGGGATACCAAATCCTTGCCCATTTGTGTTCAAACTGAAAACTCCAATCTGAAATGTTGCCATTAGGTACTAGTTTTTATGGTTTTCATCTTTGGGAGTGTCTGAATTTTCAATTTTCATTGCTATAGTGCTGTACATTGAAATCCCATCATATTTTATTACAAAAATCGAAGTCACTGTTGGGCAAAACCCACTAATTCATCCAAATTTCTAAATGATTGAGAGGATAAGATGAAAAGTGGGTGTCCCCTTGACTCCTGAGTCTTTTCTGAGGTGTAAGCACCGCAACACAGGAGAAAGCTGCCATTGGTAGAATGATTTATTTTGTTTTATAGTCGGGAAGTTATCATGCTTTGTAGTGAGGGTTTGAATCCCAATATAACCTCAAATTAAAGTTTTTAAACAAACAAGAAGATAACGTGTTTTTGTATGCAATTATGCAATTTAGTATTCATTTTTAAATTATCAGTTTTCAATGAGAAATTTAATTTGGTTTTAAAACCGCCCCAAAGAAAAATAAAATGTAAAACTTGAGGCTAGAACTCCGGTAAAATGAGTTCAAAACCTATCATCTCAACCACGGGACCGTTGAATCAACATTCTTCTATTCTTTTTCAAAGTTTTTATATTTATGGTACAAGACTTTGTTTTAGCAGTTCCCCCACTTGGGTTCAGGCAGTTGCAGTTTCAGTTTCAGGCTTTCTACCTTCCATTCCTCGTTTCACGGACTCCAATTTATGCCCTTTTCACGAAACTCGATGAGACAGTACCCATCACAAGTTGAAAATGAAATGCAGCCCACCCCCCTGATTCCTTTCCTCCCCCACAAAATATCTCCTTTGATTCTCATTTTCATGTCCTTCCAAGTTCCAAATCAAATGGTCATTTTTCTTTTAGGTAAATAGTTAGTACCACTTCCACTTTGCAGTAACCTCCTCCATAAAATACCCTCTTAACTCTACCATCGACATTCAACGCCCTTCCCTTTCCATTATACCCTTTTTGCCTTTTGCATTCCCTCACAGCTATGCAATGGCGGATGCTGATGCGTTTACTGGCAAATCCTTGCAAGGTGGTGGCTTGAACAACAGTGAGAATGGCGGTGGACCTCTCGTGGGTATCCAAGGAAAGGAGGTGGAGAGTCCTGGGAATTTGAGAGTAGAAGGAGGGAAGCATGATGGTGCTGAAAAGGTGAGTACTTTTAATAATGGCAATGGTGGGGGTGATGTTTTGGAGTGGTTTGGTGAGTATATTGATGTGAATGCTGGTGAAATTTTGCATCTTTGGGGTGGTGGAGATGATGGGTATAGAGTTGGGGTTGGTGAGTGTGATCAAGTTGCATCTGGGTTTCAATTTGGGTTTGGTGAAGAAATTGGTGGAGTTCAAAATGGTGATGCTTTCAAGCGATTGTTTGGTGAAGATGATGGAGATGGGTTGCTTGTTGGTGGAGAAATTCAGGGGGGAGAGTTAGGTCTTGGTGCTGGAGTCACGTTCCAGGGCCTATTTAGTCAGGGTAATGGAGAAAATAGGACTGAAGAAATTCAAGACCAAAAGAAGGATTTGAATGTTTGTGGGGGAGGAATTAAGAGCTTGCTTGGTGAAAATGTCTGTGGAAGCAGATTAAATAACAGTGCTGCTGAAGGAAATCAAGTTTTGCATGTTGAAAATGCTGGTGAATGTAATGGGGGTAAAGATGGCTCCAAAGGACAGGTTAAGGGTAAACGTGGTAGGCCAAAGGGCTCAAAGAATAAGAAGAAAATTCTCAGTGCTGAACAAGCAATTGATGGATTAAGCGAAGTTGCTGGTGATTGTAAGGTGGGAAATGAAATTGTTCAGCCAAAAAAGAAGCTAGGACGACCAAAGGGTTCAAAGAATAAGAAGAGAAAATTTGAGACCGCTGAACAAACAATTGGTGAAGCAAGTGAAGTTTTTGGTCGTAGTAAGGTAGAGACTGATATTGTGCAGCCGAACAAGAAGCAAGGACGGCCAAAGGGCTCAAAGAACAAAAAGAGATGTCTCGCTGGTGAGAATCAAGAAATGCCATCCCTCGTTGTGGGTGCTAATAATGATAGCAATCAATCTCTGAGGTTTACTACTGATTTTGCATCTGAGCGAGATGGGACATTGTCTAGTGAGGTCACTGTTGGGAATGTAGGAGGATTTGCTATTGCCAGCCCAGAAAAGAAGAGAGGGCGGCCAAAGGGTTCAAAGAATAAGAAGAAACGTATTGCAGAACAGGTCCAACAGGAGATTAAAGGAATCCTGACTGGAAATCAAAGCAGTAATTGTGGTGTTGAAGGAATTTTGCTGATAGGTTTGGAGAATCAAGTGAACAATGTTTCAGGTGAAGAAGATAATGGTATGTCTCGTGAAACTGCTGGTGTTAGTCAAGGTATAAGTGAGAATGTCCAGCCAAAGAAGAGGCGTGGAAGACCAAAGGGCTCTAAAAAGAAGAAAAATATTGCTGATAATAGTGGAGAAATGCCCAGTAAGATTGTGAATAATGATAGTGGTTGCAAGGAGACAGTGCTTCCAATGGACTTGGAGAAGTGTTCAATTCATAATTTTGATGCTCTGAGAACACAAGTGGAAGGAGAAGATTTGAACAAGAATGTAGTTGTTCCATTCACCAAGAGAGAACAACGAGAAGAAGATTTGAACAAGGGTGTCAATGCTCTATTCTCTGTGATAGAACAAGGAAGAGCAGAAAATTTGAAGAAGGATGTCACTGTTCCATTTTACCATGCTAGGGCCAGTATAAACCGGAAAAGAAAAATATTAAGTGCTGAATCTGTCACTGCTCAAAAGAATATCAGAGGAAGGAAGAAAAAGAAGAAGATTAGGAACCAATCAGAAAATTCAGAATCATTAGTGAGTTCTTCCAGATCCATGTTTCTCACACTGCTGATAAATTTTTAATGAAATTTATATTTATGCATTCAAATTTTTTCCTTATCCTTTACTGTTTATTGATATTTATAATATCTGAAAGAATTGAAGAAATTATAGCCCCCAAATTGACCAAAGTGTACATCATAGAGAAAAACACATTGTTAATTTAAGATTTTCTTATAATTCCTAGAAAATGTCATGCTTTGTCTGAATTCCTTTATTTTTCTATATCACATCTAGATTGGAGTTCTAATGTAACAGTTCTTTAATGAAAATATGTTCATGGAGCAACTAGCTCTTCTTGAGCCAGAAATGTAGTTTCGGCTAATCTTTTTTATGGTAATATTTATAGAGTGGCTTTCACTTCATGAGTTCAAACCAGCTTACAAATTATGACTTTAATTTCAGAGAACTTTTAATGAGAACGTTGAAGATTTAGCCATAGTAGCATGTGAAACTGTCAATGGCTGTAACTCATGATTGAAATTGCCCAGCCAAAAATTTATAAATTCAACCCATCAACTCTTATGTTTTCTTTTGCCATTTCTGATCCCTTGAAATTAAGATCCAATTAGAAGGTGTAATGGACATAATATTCTCTAACTAAATGCATGTAGCATAATTTGAAGCCTCACCCTCTTCAGTCTGCCCTTAAAGAAGATTAAATAAAAATTTTAAAAGCAAAAAGAATGACAGAAGAATCCCTAGACATGCAATTTAGCAGTTGCATTCTTCTTTTTTCTCTTCTCTTCTCTTTCTTCTTCTTCCCTTTTTTTTTTTTTTTTTTTTTTGAGGGGGGTACTTTGAGAATTGCATGAATTTTATGAAAAAGATATAAGTTTAAAGCTACAACATGTACTGAGATGTGAAATGATTAAAGCAATGGTGATGAGCGAGGCAGCAGTGTGAAGTGCTTCTTTAAAATGTTTTGGTGAACATTCAAGCTGATTTCTGAATCTGTTGGTTCCAATAATCAGTAGTAACTGGGTTTCTGTGTTAGGATGATACCAGCTGGAAGAAGGCGCGAGGGAGTTCAACGTGCCACCAATGTTGGAGGAATGATAGGACTGGCATTGTCAATTGTTCTAGTTGCAAAAGGAAACGCTACTGTTATGAATGCATTGCAAAATGGTAATGAGATCTTGCAAAGCATTTTTTGTTGTTAAAAGAAAGTGTAATTTAATTCTTCAAATTTTGAACTTTGATTCTCATGAAATTTGCTAATCTCTGCTTGTCAGAACACTGTTACTTGCTCTAGGAGGGAAAAAAAAAAAGGAAGTCCTTGTCAATATTAATTTATTTGATGTTTCATTAACTTAGCAGAATAATATTCATAGCTTGTTGGTTATTTTGATAATGCATTTTTGTAACTATGAAAGGGATCTAATACTATCTTAAAGAATTGAATTAGGTACTCAGAGAAAACTAGAGAGGATATAGAGGTGGCTTGTCCATTTTGTCGGGGAAATTGTAATTGCAGATTATGCCTCAAGGAGAATTTAGTTAATATGGTATGCAACTTCCCTTTATTGTCTCTTCTTCCTTGCTAAAGTATCAATATCAACCATTTTGATGCTAAGGTACACTTTTAAATTTGACAGGTTGACCAGGAGGAAGCAGATGCAAATGCCAAACTGCAGAGGTTGCTTTACTTGTTATACAAAATATTGCCTCTCCTCAGGCATATCCAGCAGGAACAGCAGTCTGAACTAGATGTTGAAGCTAATATATGTGGTATAATAACTTGAGTACTTTTATTTGAGTTTTGGGTTTCTTTACTCATTAGGTGGTTGTGATTTAGGAATTCCAACTGATGTGGGTTTCTTTTTTTATAGGTGTGCAGTTGACAGAACAGGATATATTGGTTTCTCTGTTAGATAATGATGATAGGGTGTATTGGTATTTTCTTCTGCTCTTTTATGCCACCCTTGAATCCTAATTCATTCTTAATGGAACATTTTGTATGTTCTTTCTGTGTTAAAATCAATTGTTAGTTTCTTTTTTTTTTTCTTTTTTCTTTTTTCTTTTTTGGATCAGCATGTTGGTTTGTGGTTATTAGAATACCTTTTAGTTTTATCTTGACTTAACTTTGTGTTATAACTGTATCTTTTAAGCTGATAAATAGGGTGGGATTAATGGTGGGGCAAGGGTCTAAAAGATGAGGTTGTATGTTAAAGGGAGTTCATATTCTCTAAAGTCATTATTTATTGGTGGTGGAAAAACTACATATTTATTTTCCCATTATTATTGTGTCAGCATTTTTTTTTTTTTTTGACGCAGACATTTGTCTGCATTTATCTCAATCAAATTAGCTAGGTAGTAAGAGGTAATATCACTATTCAAGAAAATATCTCTGCCAATATATAACTATGAATGTGTCCTTGTTCAACAGTGACAATTGCAATACGTCCATTGTTAATTTCCATCGAAGCTGCCCAAATCCCAAGTGTTCTTATGATCTCTGTCTGGCATGTTGCCATGAAATAAGAGAAGGATTTCAGCCAGGAGTTACTGAATCAGAAGCTTCTGACCAGCACTTTGTTCAAAGACCATCTAGTCAAGCTACATATTTGAATGGCCAGACTCCTGGAAATTGTGCAGGAGATGACCAAGAAAGCCATCTGTCAACTGAGTGCATGTCTGATATTTCACATAAATTTCTTGATTGGAGAGCAGAGGCAGACGGTAGGATTCCTTGTCCCCCGAAAGAAAAGGGAGGTTGTGGTGCTGAGACACTTGCACTGAGACGCATCTTTGGGGCTAGTTGGGTTCATCAACTGGTTGAGAGTGCAGAAGAACTAACTACTAATTATCAGCTAGCTGACATTGAGTTTTCTCAAGGGTGTTCTTTGTGTGATTCTGGTGGTTCTGCAGGAACAGTAAGAGATTTTGAAGTAAGACAGGCAGCTTATAGAGAGAGCAGTCAAGATAACTTTCTGTACTGCCCAAATGCTATGCAATTGCAAGATAATGATATTGAGCATTTTCAAACACACTGGATGAGAGGCGAACCTGTTATAGTTAGAAATGTACTTGAAAAGACTTCTGGTCTTAGTTGGGAACCTATGGTCATGTGGAGGGCTTTTCTAGGTGCAAAAAAGATATTAAAGGATGAAGCCCAAAGAGTTAAAGCAATTGATTGCTTGGAGTGGTGTGAGGTAGTTGTTTGCCTTTTCATATTCAATTTGTTTTGCTTTCTTCTAAGAATTTCTGGTTTATTATTCATGATCCAATCTTAACCCCTTGAATTATAATTCTTTTTGGCATTTGGCATGCTCAAAGGATGCATGTCCATATGCCTGGTTGCCTGCCTGCTGATGAGCCAATCTTATACATCCCATTCTGGTTGGTGTTTTTATCATGCTCCAACAAAATATTCTTGCACTCAAACTGTCCACTAAATTTTCCCTTCTCCATGCTGCAGGTTGAAATTAATATTTTGCAGTTCTTCAAGGGCTACTTAGAGGGTCGTCAGTACCGGAATGGCTGGCCAGCAATGTTGAAGCTGAAGGATTGGCCTCCATCTAATTCATTTGAAGAGTGTCTGCCAAGGCATGGTGCTGAATTTGTTGCAATGCTTCCTTTTAAAGATTATACCCATCCAAACTCTGGTATTATGAATCTTGCTACGAAGCTTCCTGCTGTTTTGAAGCCAGACTTGGGACCCAAATCGTACATTGCTTATGGATCTTTCAAAGAGCTTGGTAGAGGTGATTCAGTTACAAAACTACATTGTGACATGTCTGATGCGGTATGCAATGTTTCACTACTTCCTCTTCTTCTTCTTCTTCTTCTTCTTCTTATATATTTTTTTTTCAAAAAACATTGCTATGTTAATAATGTTGCATTTTAGCAGCAATGATTTTTTTGCATTATCATATTCAACTGTCTCTCTACCTTAGTATAGGTAATTTTTAATTTAAGTCAAGGTTCAGTTATATAAGTAATTATTTGTTATTTTTTCTCTATGTTCTTGTTCAAGGTTAAAGGTTCAGTTATAAGAGTAATTGTTTCTTAATGTGTCTCTATGTTATCATTCAAGTTTCAGTTCATGGAAATAATTATTTGTTAATGTATCTCTATGTGTTTTTATTTTTTATTTTTTATTTTTTATCAGATTTAGATGTACCAAGGCAGACACATAGTCAAATTGCTATTGATCTGATAGTTTCAGTCATTCTATGACTTAGAGAATGCTCATGAAGTTTCACTTAAAAATACCACTTCTCTTCCTGATGGATCCTTGGTTTTTGCAAGCTGGGATTTGGATAAAGATCCAAGATTACAGTCACAGTGCAAAAGAATCCTTGGTCCTAAGCCCTCCTCCTTCATTTCCATCCCCCTCCTCCCCCACCCCCCCCACCCCCCCTTCCCCCTCCAAACAACAAATAAAAACCTAAAAGAATAAAAGGCACTTTAGGTATATTATGGATAGGCAAGACCAAAGGATCATGGCTGATGAAAAGGAGAAATATGGAAATTGTATATTGTTTATATTAATGTGCTTTGACTTAACATTTTTCTTTCATTTGATTGAAGACCTAGTTTTTAGTTAAAAGATTAGGTCCTGATTCATTACACACACCTAGGCAAGTTTGAGTATTTTACAAGACTGGCCTGCAGAGTTTGTTGCCATGTTTTGCTTGCTGAACTTGCTTGAATTGTATAATATATTTCCTTGACCTGCATTGCCAGAAGACTTGACACTTTCCAACGCCAAGACACCAAGGCTGTAGGATAACCTTTGGTTGTTTTGCAAGAAGATTAATGAGAGCCTTCATATCATTTTACATGATCATGCTTAGTTTTTCATGTGCTTGCATTATTCATTGAGTTTTATAATTTTCTTCCTTTAATTAGTGCTATTAACTACAATTTTGGTCTCTTCCAAATATGTGTAATGAATCTCTCCTATAATTTCCTAATTCCACTCTCTATTCCATGTAGGTTAATGTGCTGACCCACATGACAGAAGTGAAGATTCCACGACGTCAGGGTAAAATTGTAGAAAAATTACAGAGGAAATATGAAGCTGAAGACTTACAAGAGCTTTGTGTTGGGATTCAGAAAGTCTCACATATATCTGGACAAAAGCTGCGAAAAAGACCTCATAAAGATGAGAACAGTGGTCTTGAGTGTTCTGCAGAGCTGAACAATTGTCCAGTTAAGCATGGGGATGTTGGTTTAGCAGAGGGCCAACCCTGCTTCCTAGATGTAAATGATAGAGGCCCCAATCACACTGCCATGGAGGATTTTCAAGCTTTTCCTGGACCTGATAATAGAAGTGAAAAAATCGACAAAAAATTGTTTAATCAAGAAAAGGATTACAATGTAGAGGAGAAGACAGATTCTGGCAGCAGGCAAATTTTACTGGAAGCAACATGTCCAGTAAAAGGAAATGATGATTTAGAGTCTGTCAGACTGGAAACAGATAAAACCATAAAATCTGTTAAAGAAAACCAGTCTTTGGAACTTGTGCATGGTGGTGCTGTTTGGGACATATTCAGACGGGAGGATGTCCCCAAGTTATGTGAGTACTTAATGAAGCATCAGAAAGAATTCCATCACTTCCACAATCTTCCTGTAAATATGGTGTGTGTCCTTGTCATTGACCACCTAAATTATGAATTTTAGCAAAATTCCTCATATTAATGTGCAGAAAACTTGTCTTAGGTTACTCATCCTATTCATGACCAAATCTTTTATCTGAATGAGAGACATAAAAAGCAGCTCAAGGAGGAGTTCGGTAAGAAACCATTTGTTTTAGAAGTCATTGGAGAATAATGCCAACACCATTGTTTAACTTAAATTGTTCTTCAGGCATTGAACCCTGGACATTCGAGCAAAACCTCGGTGAAGCTGTTTTCATTCCTGCTGGATGCCCACATCAAGTAAGAAATAGACAGGTAAGACTCCTCTTGCTGGAAATAATGATGATTTATGATCTTGCTTAACTTGATGTAGTAACTGAGATAAAGTGGACCTAGACACTCAGTCCTTTCCTGACTGGAGTTTTAAACAGATTTCTATTAGTTAGAAAATATTTCACCATACAATCATTCTCTTCAGAGATCTGAAGGCCAACTTTACTAGGAAAGTTTTTACTGGGAAAGTGATTAGGAAAGTACCGTGCAAAAAGTTGATAAGTACTGTATGGAAAGTTGATAAGTATTGTAGTGAAGTTCTGTTGTAATTTTGTTGGATTGTTAACTTTTCTGTGTTTGGTAAAAAATTGGTATGGAGAAAGTAGGAAAGTTGTCAATGAGTCTTACATAGGGAAAGTTGGGGAGGAAACGTTTACCCTTTAATAAGTGTGAGAAGAAAAATTTATAGGTTGGGAATTGTGTTAGGGAAAATAAAGGCAAAAAATGCCACTTTTACCCTCATTTTATTTTGGTTTCAATGTGTGAAAATACATAAATAACCTTGTAAGGGGAAAAATTTAGAAAAGTATAGGGGGAAAGTTTCCCTCCAACCAAACAGTCCCTTAATCCAACGATTGTTAGTTCATGTTTTTAGAAGTTTAAATAAATTACTAAATTGTAATTTGGATAAAATTGTAATTACAATAAATGGGCAGTATTTCTTATTATGCTCCTGATATGGTTTCTTAATTCTGTTTTATCAGTCATGCATTAAAGTTGCCCTTGACTTTGTATGCCCTGAAAATGTGCAAGAGTGCATCCGATTGACAGAGGAGTTCCGCTTGCTTCCAAAATATCACAAAGCTAAAGAAGATAAACTAGAGGTACCTGTTAATCAATTCAGTTCTGCAACACTTTGTTAAGCTGTTATTCACATTGTAGTTGATTTCATTCTCTTAGGTCATGAATAGGAGAGATAATGTAGCAAGGTGGGACCATAAACGTTGTATAGTGTTCATATCTAAAGATGTTTCTTACCCTTGCAAAACATTCATTTTTTAATAGGTGAAGAAGATGGCACTATATGCTGCAAATCTTGCTGTAACAGAAGCCAAAAATCTGATTTCAGAACTCAAGTAAGACCTACTATCACTGACAATTATAATCTATGTTCGTCAGTCGCTTTCAAATCTGTGATTTAAGAAGTAATGTTTAATTTTTCCTTTTTCCTTTTCAAAAAACCTACTACATTTGAAATGCTAGCTTAAATGGATATGTTTTGCTGCAGCATTTGCAATATTTGTTTACTGTAGTATGTAGGGAACTTAGTATCAGAATAAAATGTGGATTCAATTATGTGTTCTATTTAGCAGAATTTGGGAGGTCAAACAATGTAATGTAAGAGGTTTGCTATAATGGGGATTGAATGCACTGATAAAGTAAAACACCAATTTTTAAAACACATAATAGTTGAATAAGAACAATCTGACAGGAAGAAGAAATTAAATGGGGATTGAAGGTTGCAGATAAGAATTCTTAAAGCATTCAGCATCTAGGTGTTCTTTATTTGCAACACGAAGTCTCAAGCCATTAGTAAATTTACCTAGTTACCTATGCAAAGAACATCATAACGAGCGTGCTTATGTTGATAATTGAGTGGATGGGATTTAGGAACAATGACTGATATTTCTTTTGATACATTAGAATTGTTAGATTGTTGCACTGTTTTTTCTGGCATATTTGATAGTCAGTCTTTGGTAACCTCTGCAGCTCTTCAAATCGAAGCAACACTAATTGTAGCTGACTCACTAGTAGTTGCAGTCCATGTCCTAACAGCAGTTTCTCAATATTTTACCTCCACAGGCCTTATGCTAGTTATTTCTTAGCTAGTCTATTTTGTAATTTTGTAACATGCCAATAACTGGAGGTTTGTAATTGTATGCCCTGGTTTCTTTACCAAAGGCCCTTTTGTACAAATTATGGCATTTTGAATCTGAAGATAAGTTGTTCAGAGCTGTACATCTTTTTAATGTTCATCTTTCTTTCTTCTCTACGTAAGATTCTTTTTTATTTTTTATTTTTTGATACATTAGATGATGAATTAAATATCATAGGCCTTTGCTTCTCATAACTACTTTCCACTCTTCTTAAGGTTTGAATGTGAAAATTTGTAAATAATTTTATGGCCTTAATCATTTGAAACACGCTGTGGAGCCTCTACAAAAAAGCTTCCATGAATTTAGGCCAGCAGCCCTTGGCCCAATGACTGTCTTTAAACGTAAAATCTTGGGTTCTGCGTGCAACTTTGCAAGCACTACATTTACATTCCACTACCTCAAAAATTCCCCTTTGTCAAAACACTAAAAAGAAATTGATTTCCAAAATTATTTACCATCATTCTTAAAAAATTAATAGTACTCATATAATATAACGTTTTTAATAAAAGTTTAACAAATGAGTCCTCTTTAATATTACTATAAGAAAAATAAATAATTAATTTCATCTCTTTCAAGAGGTGTTTTAATGAATGAAAGTTTAAAATGTTACTCATTAATTTATGATCAATAATTAACCAATTTCAAAATAAACATATTTTTGGTTTTTCAAACCTCTATACCTTAATCAACACCTTAATCAACCTAACAAATTTTAGTAGAGTAAATCATGCAATTCTAAATAAAAACATTTTTTTTAGTTGATATCCCTCCATTAAAATGAAATAAACAAAAATCAAGATCAAATTGAAATTAAAATAAGTCGATTCATAGTATATATAAATCGATTACAATCTCAATCTTATAACAAGACCACTGGTTCGCGTCTAGAACCGATCCAGACCAGACCATTGGACACCTTGATATTCTCATTTTGTATTTTCATTTTTTATCTCTTTTCTTTTTATGATGCTCAATTTGCCATGAAGGCTCCTATTGCAAAGCTCCAACGACATCGTTTTCGGGATTTTCTTTCTCATATATAACCCTGTTTACCCTAACCATTCAAACAGATATTCTTCACATTTCATGTCCTCTTCTGTCATTTAGATATTTTCTGGTATTTTATCTTTTTATTTATTTATTAATATTTTTTTCCTCTCTTGTTCTTCTTCTTCTCTACATTATTCATCTCAATTTCTACAAAATTCCCTATTTTTCTTGATAATAATCTTGTATTCAATCTCAATTCTTCAAACCCACTTCGAAATTTTCCTTTTTGATTCCAAATTTGGAACCATTAGATTCTGGGTTCCTATTTGCATGTTGCAACCCTAATTTTCCATCACCTCCCTACTGAAAGTTTCAGTGTTTGACGGCCATGGCTGCCGCTCTCAGATCTAAGCACTCTGTGGAAACAGCCTCTTTGACGGTTTCTCAGTTCAGGCACTATGTGTTCAATTGTATGCACTATGGTCGTACGGTGAGCTCTAATTCTATCCACCGTACTAAGTGGGACGATCATTTTGTAAACACGCCGTATCACTTCACTTCATTCAAGCCGGTCTCGCTTCGCGGCGAGTTTATGGAAAAGGGTACTCAGTTATTGGATGGTAGGAGGCGTACCCGCAATTCAAGTAAGAATTTTGAAAGGAATTGGAGTGAGAAATTGAGTAATGGTAGTACTGTGTTGAGCTTGTATGGAGACCCTCCTGAGGTCTGGCAGCCCCCTGGGGATGGGATTGCAATTCGGGTTAATGGGGCGAATCTAGGTCGCGGTGGTGGTGGTGGAGGAGCTGGTCAAAGCTCTGGTGGCGGGAATGTTTCGGGTTCGAAGGATGAGTGTTGGGGTGGATCCAATTTGGGACATAATTTTCCAACCCCAAAGGAGATTTGCAAGGGGCTGAACAAGTTTGTCATTGGGCAGGAAAGAGCAAAGAAGGTCATTTCCCTTGGCTGCTTTGTTTCGTTAGCATTGGAAGTGTTTTCATCGCTTTAAATGACTTTGTTCTGTCTTTGTTTAAAATGACTTATATCTTATAATACATTGATTAAGAATGCATGTTAGATCTAACGTGATTTAAAATGAAGATTCTGATAGTTTTTATTAGTCTTTATCCAAAAAGAGGTTTGGTTATTATGTTTACTACTTGATTATGTTTGGGCAATTTAAGGATTCTGGGATTTTGGTTAGTACAGAATATTTAGGCGGAATGCCAGAGGTTTCTTTGCAATAGAATATTTTGCCGCTTTGCTTGAGTACTGATATGGATTGGAAGTGTGGCAATGTATTGAATTAGCATATGATTAATAGGATTAAATCGTTTATCATTTTGATGATTAACTTAATAACCACTTCTTTAAATTTTAAATTTATTGCCAAGCTCTTCTTCTCCATAGAATTCTTTCTGTTTTTATAATGTTATGCTCTGAATGCAGGTTCTCTCAGTGGCAGTTTACAATCACTATATGAGAATCTATCATGAATCCTTGCAAAAGCGGTTAGCTCTCTATACACATCTTTCCATGTCTGTTTTAAGTCTTTTCCTATCGTTATGGAGAACTTTCCGGGTTGTTTCATAGCATTATATATATTGCCAAAAGAAGTCAGGGGTTGGCATAACTGTATTGTGGTTCATATTAGAAGCTACAAACTTAAAATGTTAAAATGAAAAAGGGAAGAAGGAAGTGGTAACAAAAAGTGTGCAATGCTCACTAATTGTCATCATATACTGTAAATATTTAATGAGCCTGGTCTGCTCCTATCACTAATACAGTTGATTTTGTTACTGATTTGCTTAAGTAAAGGATGTCTTTAAGAACATTGTGATCTGCAGGTCCTAAAAATTGGTGTCTATGCTTCTGTTCTGTGAGATTGTGCATGTTAATGTTTGTTCTGAGGGATGTCATTTATTAACATGTTTCCTATTGCTTGGCAAGTTAGATCTACAGGAGATTCAGGTAGCAGTTCAGTGGATCTAAAGGATGATGATACAGTGGAACTGGAGAAAAGTAACATTCTTCTAATGGGGCCAACTGGGTCAGGTAATTTAATATCATTCTTGCCTTGATCATGAATTTTTCTTATATAATTAATTTTCCCCTTTTTGATTGTGAAGTGTTTCAAAGGTTGGAGTCATACATAGGTTTTCTTTGGTCCAATGGTACCATAAATGCATAAACAGTTGTTTTTGGCCAACAACATAGATGTTACCACGCACAGTTAATTCCAGAGAAACTGTGTGTGATCAGTAGATGGCTTTATATGTATATTTATTGCCTTCTATCCCTGCTGACAGTGATTTTATGGTGCTTCTTGCATGTTTCTTATTGTTAAAGTAAAGAAGGATAACTAAATGCCTAGTATGATTATAGGAATGTTTATGATCAATTGATCATAGGAATCATCTTAATTCATGTCATTGTTCCTTCCCCTTTAAATTTTTTAACATTCAGTATGGAAATGTCAATTTAGTGGGTATACCATTTTTGTGTATTTTCCCTTAGACATTTGTCATTTTATTCTTTGTGTACCAGTTTTGGGTTGTTTGCTTATAATCCATTATATTCATATCTATTGTTAGTTACTAGTCTCACATGTTCCCTCTGATGTTGTTTCAAGGACAGGGAAGACACTACTTGCCAAAACCTTGGCACGGTTTGTGAATGTTCCTTTTGTTATTGCAGATGCAACTACTTTGACTCAGGCAAGTTGTTGACTTTTTGTTGCAATTGCATGTCCTCATTTTCTTTCCCAATTTTATGTTTTACTTTTTATTTTCATTTTTTCTTTGTTCATTATGTTGATTATGTAATTTTGCATCCAGAAAATAGCTTAGTTCTGCTATTTCACAACCTAATAAGCACTGTCGCATATTTCTATAGGGAAAACGTTGATGTTTTCCTTTCAGTTTTATGATATATCTCTCCCCACTGGCACCACTATGAATACTATCTGACCAATTCTAAACCACAATTTAATTTACTTTCTCTGAAACACATACACAGGTATGTATCACATATCATCAGCACAGAGTTGTGTGATCATGTGCATTTATGATAGTTCCTCAGAAGTGCATGTCTGAAATTTTTATCATGCACTTTATCCCTATTTGAATTTCTTTGAAATCTTTCATTGAATGATAAGAAGAATTTTATAGATTTTGTGCATGGATGCTTCATCTTTATCATGAACATATTTTATTGTTAACCATATCTTGTTATGTGCAGGCAGGATATGTAGGGGAGGATGTTGAGTCCATATTATACAAGCTCCTTACGGTAAATTCTTACTACGTTCTGTACATGAATCAAATTTCACTTCTGTAGTATGATGATATGTTCAAGCTTAAGTTATGTTTTGATGTGTTGCCTTATGATGTTGCCAAGCATGCTTTCTTGGTATAGAAAAGATAAACTTGGCTCTAGTTAGGGTTCTGTGTGTTAATCTTAGGTTTAGTGTACAAAAGTGGCTTTCTGTACTGTAAAGTCCCTCCATAATGAAATGATGAGCCCTTTTATATCTTGGGAACTGTTATTTCTTATATTTCTTTTCCTGGACAATGTGAAGGTATCATGAGAACTTGGTTGATTCTGCAGTTTGTCCCTATAACTGATTAATGGTTTATATTTTTTTAATTTTTAATCTCTTTCAGGTTGCTGATTACAACATTTCAGCTGCACAGCAGGGCATTGTTTACATTGATGAAGTGGATAAGATTACCAAAAAGGTATGCTGCCTTTTAACTTTAGAGAAATTTCTTCTTTGTTATCATTCTTTAGTAATCTGTGTCTTATAAATATGCAGGCTGAAAGCCTTAACATTAGTAGGGATGTATC